GATCAATTAGATGTTCCCTTCAATAATAAAAGTATCCAGGCTCTCATTCTGAGCAAGCATAAAGGCGACAGTAGAAAGGAAAAACTCCGTCATAAGGAAGAAACTTTTAGCAGAAACAGGCTCAGGACATCTGCTTCAACTGGCTGGGTTTAAGAGGAACAGATACACAATGGCAGGTCACATGTTAAGTTAGAAATCTTATCAATGTTGTGTTGAAGCTCTGTGATCCATCCTTTATAGTGTTTATTTTGACTATTAACTACATAAAAGTTGTCCCGTTTGATGAAGGGGGCACCCAGATTTGAACTGGGGAACTGTTGATCTGCAGTCAAATGCTCTACCACTGAGCTATACCCCCTGAATGACAACCGGCAGGTAAGTGTTTTGTTGTTGGCAATGTCCATCTCTGAATCATCAACTTGTTTTTCAATAAAAAATAAATGAAGTTTGATGAGTACCGTTAGTTGTTCCCTTCAACAATAAAAGTGTCTAAAAGAAAAGTGAAAGTCTAACAACTAATTTAAAAAGGAAGGTTTAGGTTTGGTTTAAAAGGTAAACACCGGAAACAGTGAATGAAATGATCTAATGTGTGAGATAGTTTTAATGTAGAAAAATCAACTGAACAGGGTTGGTCTGATCTTTAACGCTAAATTAATTAATGTTTTGTTTTATGTTTTGCAAGTCACACCTATGATCCATTGAGCATAACTCATTCATAAATAATGAAAACTATTCTCAATCCAGAAGAAGTAAGTGTTTGACTGGTAGTGTAGTGGTTGAGTGTGAGACATCTGATCAGGAGGTTCTGGGTTCAAGTCCAGGAGACTGAGAATATATTTTGTGCTGCTTCCACCAGGGGGTGCTGTTGTTTCACTTATTTATTGGACAACAAATGTAAAGTGTAGAATGCTAATATCAATAAAACACTAAAACTAATATTAAATAAATTAGTTAAGATGCAGAACAGTCTTAGCAGCACAGAGAAGCTCCTGCTCATGGATTTAAATCACCCGGCAGAATAATTTAAAGTTTATTCAGGAACTTTAACTGGCCTGTGGATCAGGGCTGTGTGAGAAGTTTCTTGTCTGTGCATCTGTTTCCCTTCCTGATTGAGGGGACTGGTTACATTTTAAGGGCTAAAAATAACATTAACACACAAACATTTCTCCATGTCTCCAGGTTTTGCTGCATCTTTATCACTGAGGCCTGAGATTCATGGCATCAGGCAGCTTTACGCACAGAAATGTGGCACACACGCAGAAGAGTTGAACCTTTAAAGATCTGAATGAAGCTTGCAGAAGTAATCAGTGGGGGCACGTCTACAATTAATTGACTTTTTGTGTCTATTTACGAGCTAGTTTTACAGCTAGTTGTCATTAACCAACACAAAAATAGCTCTACCTTGAGATTTACAGACACTGAGGTAATTATTGTAGAATAAGATTACTATCAGGGTTCGACTTGAGTCTACAACAAAAAAAATCTCTCGGTCATGAATGAAGATTTATACCTACAGAGTTAAGCTGTAGTTGTTTCTCTAAAACATATTCCTAATTTCTCCACTTTAAGTTTGTTGCAGACCTCCCCAAAGCAAAAACCAGTTTAAGACACAATGATGCGAGATTTGTCTCAAGGTTCAACTTTTGTATTTTCCACCTTGTGTGTTAATTGAAACACGTTTTCTGTTTTTAGTCCAGTACAGCACCCTTATAAAATTCCCAATTCTGGTACCGGTCACAGTAAAAGCCCGGTGGTTCTGTAGTTGAAACCAGTGGGAATTAATTTTCAGTTTTAGGGAGCAGTGATTATCTGCAGCTCCTTTAAGAACCAAACTCTTATTTGCACGTTTAAGAAATGTGAAATAAAAATGATCAGTTCATCGTATTCGTCTCTTCCTAATCTGGGAGGGGGTGCTTTAAATTTGAAGAATATCGTTTAAATTTTTAAAAAACCTAAATTTTCCATTTATTTAAAGGAGCCTCTGTGTTTTTCTAAGGATGCAAAGCTGAAGTGAATTTACAGATCCAGAATGTGATAAACACTTTGCATAAGAAATGTAAAAATCCATAACTAGATATTTCCCGTTCTGAAAATCCAAGAAGTCCAGTTCAGGAACATACTTTTGAATGAATAAAAGTTGAGATCATTTGAAATACAGAATTGTTTTAACACGTTAATGACCTTCCAGCTGTACAGTAGAGGAGCTCCATCCAAAGGAAGTAGTTAAGACTAAAGCAGAGTTGACATTTTGACACAGTCACATTTAGATTCAACAAAACACTCATTTAAAAGTTAAAAAAGGCTCAGACCACTTTTCTAAAAAAACAAAACAGACCAGTTTATGCAGACTATTTTAATACACCGTCACCTCCATGTGGGTTCATATGTATACATCTTGGAATCACCGTTGAGTTTTTTTTTATTATTAAAGATAAGTTTTATCCTCAACTTGAGATCACATGACATCAGGACAAGTGGCAACTGTTGTCACGACGGCTGCTAAGAGCAAACAGAACAGGTTCTGAGGGACCACAGCTAATTGGTGCTAGTCTTTATTGTCAAAGGGAGGACTAAACCCAGAGGAGCTTTTTGAAAACACCCAGGTAGAAACTGAAAATATGTACAAACACTGTACATCAGGTTCAGAATAAGCAGGGCGACAGCTGCTGAACTTATCATTTGCTTTATTCAAAGAAAGAAAAGTAAACAAATTGAAAGGATGTAGTAGATGAAAATGGCAAATCAGTGAAAGATGGTTCTCAGATGCAAAACCCCTGACGGCTCCAGTTTCAGTTACAGATATGCTTTAAACATAAAAAAATAATAATCTGAATAGTTTTAATTATACTTGGCAGAGCTAATGCCCCTGTATGCAAAGCAAGATATTAATGTTTAACCACAAATCATTACCAGCAGCACATTTTATCACGGCCCTCAAACATTACCGGTAGAGTTCCATATAGAAGTGTGTAGTCTATCGTTGCAACTAGTCTTTATGCCTTTTTAGTATCATTTTGCAATAAATTCAATAAACAATTACAGACAAACATAAAAAATGCCAGGCAATGAGGCGATATGGTAATATAGAACTCATCTGTGACAAACTCTCCCTATCGCTGTTCCCACACGAGATAGACTCCAGGAATGGATCCATCAAACCATAACCTACAAGATTTTCAGCTACGGTAATCATCGACAGCCCGAGGCGCCCGATGGGAGCAGAAAGAGGAGCCGGATGTCAGCAGACCTGCATCACAGGAAGCAGCCTGTGCTCAAAGATCTTCTCGGGAGCTCATTGTTGTTGTTGTTGTTGTTGTTGTTGTTGTTGTTGTTGTTGTTGTTGAGCTCTTCCTCAGAGATGCTGACAGCATGCAACTTCATTTACATGATGATGCACGGCGCCCGGCTCTTAGTGATCTTCTGCACAGGTTTCCCATTACTGGCATTCTGGACTGCTTCCAAGATCTGTAGCAGCACAAACAAAAACAAACGAAGAAGAAGATGGGAGCGGATGAACCAAATGCTTTGAAGCGTACATCACTTAGTGCGCATGCGTCTTACGTCATCCTCGTACGGGAAGCCACTTGTCTCGAGCTTGGAAAAGACGAGCTGCCCGTTGATTTCAATTTCAAAGCTGCCTAAAATCCAATCCAACAAACAAAAATATATAAATAATGAGAACGACATTTGTCTTGACAAACTGTTAAATAAACGTCCAGGGTATAGATTTGAAAACAAAACACCATCATCGACTCTTTAACTCAAAGTTCGTGTGTGACGGCTCATGCTCACCTGTTCGTCCCACAAAGCCCGACACTTCCGCCTCGGGAAACTCGGCCCGAATCACCTGGGCGAGCTCCCGAAAGCGGGGTTCGTATCCTCATCCACCACTGCGTCAAGATCAAGAGTAAAAACACACACGTAAAGAAAAACAGAAACGAAGCGTCAGACGAGTTAAAAGCAAAGTTTAGCTTAGCTTTCGCTAACGATGCTAACGGTAGCTATTCGAAAGTGTAAACCGAGACTCGCGGAAATATTCAAATAAATAAATAAGTATGGGCAAAATAAGAATGAGTACAGTAAAACACGTACCAGTATTCCACCCTAACCGTCACTCCCATTTTGCTGCTCTTCCAGACACTGGCCGCACAGTTAGCTTACGCCTTAAACGTCAGGACAACAGAGAGACGGGGCTTTTATTGTGAAACGTCGTGACGTTTGCGTAACATTTAGGTCGTACGCTCGCGTAAGGAACGTAGCTGCGCACAAACACGGAGCGTTACGGTAAAAAGTTATAAATGGTATGGTATAAATGGTATAAAGTTTATTCATTTAAAAAAGTACAAAACAATTCCATAACAATATAAAAAAAGTTACAAAATATTTAAAATGAAAGGCAGCAGAAAGAAGAAAAAAATCTTATTATATCTGCCCCTTTTTTCAAACAATTATTTCAATCATAATAATTTTCAAGTAACAGAACAAAATGAATAACTTTCTAATTTTTCTAAAAGTTCAGCACAAACCGACGCAAACTAGCAGCTTTAGTGCGCACTGTGAATTTTAAACTCTGCTCTGGAGAGGAAAAAATCCTCAAAGTCATAATTTTAAGATTATGAGTCAGAGTCAGAGTTTCTTTATTGTCATTCGCACCTCATGTGGTACATGTGGTGGAGCGAAATTATGTACACAAGGTCCCAGTTACATCCAACAATAAAATGTATAAGAAAAACAGTAATAAGATCTAAGATATGAACTAAGAAAAACATCAACTAAATATACACTAAGCACTCATAACATAAAACATTGAACATCAGCACAAACATGAACATGAGTCTGTGAGCAGATGTGCACGCATGAACACACCAACATTGATGTTTTATGAGACACTATCTCAAAATTATCACTTAGCATTTTACATTTTAATATACTTAAATTTATTCCACTAACTGATGAATTATTAGCAATTTATAATTATGACATATTGCTTAATAGCATATGAATTTTTATCTGACTAATGACATTTATAATTATGACTTAGAATCTCAAAATTTCAATTTAACATTTCAAACTTATCACTTAGCATCTAAATGTTAGCATCTTATTTATCATCTCAAAATTATGACTTTGGATCTCAAAATTATGAATTTTCATCTCAGATTACAAAAAAAATATGTCTTAAAAATGGCAAAGCAATTCAAAATAAATGACAACAGCAGCTCAGTGATTTGGACATTTTTCATCTGGGCCTTTCTTTTAAAGTTTTATTTTAATCTTGTGAGCACATTTAGACAGAATGAGCACCGTTAGATTCTTATTTCGAAAAACGTTTGTTCATTCATTCAGAAAATTTACGCTCCATTGCAAAAATCAGCAATTTAGCTTAAAATATCAGGGAAATGTCCTTATTTCTCATTAAATTAGCTTCAGTTAAAGGTAAATTTTAGGTCGTTACAGACAATAAACATACAAAACTACAAGATAAGCAAAGTTTCAGTATTAATTGTACGATATATCTGCGTAGCAAATATAGCATGTAAATTAAATCATTTGCAGCATTTGTCTTCATTTGCAACGACGTGTTTTTTTAAGTCAATAAAGTGTCACTGATGCCCCGAGGAGCTCTGAAGCGTTCGTGTCCGCAACTGTTTGTAAACTTGTAAGGCCTCATGCACAAAGAAAGCCACTCTTTTTTTGCATGATGCAGATCTCTGCAGCAGAAACACAAATTATGGAAACTTCCTCGATCCGTTGCTGCAGGAAGAGATCAGGTCACTTTGTCCTACAGGACACTGGTCCTAACAGGATGTGTCTCTTCTGTCTTGCATCGCACAGCCCCCCCTCTTACTGAGGGGAAATGTGACGATCATGCGGGTGGATGACCTGAATCAGCACCTCACATGGAGATCACAATTCCGAGAGGAGAGTTCCTCTGAAACTGAGACTCTTGTTCTTTCCTAAAAGCACAGTCTTCTTTTATCGAATTTCTCTCAAATAGGTATTAATAATTAGTACCTTATTGGCCGTGACATCAGCCGTGGCGTACAGAGTATGAAGAGAATGTAAGGAACACGGTGCACTTTATTTTGGAGGAAGCTTCGCTCTCTAATGCTTGCTGCACAATGTTTTCTAAAGTTTGCAGCTTTCTGAACAGCTCTCTGCTGTGGGTGGGTTGGTTAATTAGTTTCACGCTGAATGTTCCATTAAATATGTTTTGAGTTGGATGAGATTAAATAATAAGCCCCTGATCCTCCATCAAAGGAAGAATTATATTGGATTTCTCTTGCGCTTCAACCTTTTAGTTTTATTATTTCTGGGAAAACCCATGACGGCAGAACTCCTTGTCCTTGCCCACCATGACAAACGCAATGAGGGTTTGAAATTACCGTAAAATTTCAGATGTACGCTGACAGAGGAGCACAAGTCGTGGCTTTATTGCTTTCTGGTGGAGCTCCAAAGCTGGAGTACGACCCAGAAAATGTTTAATTATAACACGTCAGCTTTATTTTAAACCAAATCTCAAACCAAGACTGAAGGGAGACATTACTGCCCCTCCTTCTTAAAAGAAAAATTAAATAGTCCTTATAGAAATTATGCTTTGGACCTGTGACGGCCCTTATAGCAGCTGGTCACAGTTTTCAGGACTCCAAAGCCATTCCAAGTAAAAAGGCAGCCCTTTGTATGTATGTTCTCTTTTTTAACCACTGGTTCTGTGGACAGCTCAGTGGTTCCTCCTGTCTCATCCGATCATGTCTTTTCTCTTATTTTAATGGAAATTTAATGGAAATTTAAGGCCTTCAGGAGGTTCGTCATGAGCTTCACATAATTCAGTTCAATCGCAGTATTAACAAGAAGAAAAATACAATAAACAGTGAAATGTGTCACATTTTGTTTCTAACACTGAACTGGGTTTTGTTTTTACAACATCTCATTTAGAATATCAAAGTTCCTGCTCAACAATCCAGGTAAAGAATTCAACAATGTTCAGTCAGGTCATCTGGACGTTTTTTTTGTTTTGTTGTTGAGACGTTTCATCCTTCATCCAAAGGACTTCATCAGTCTGTAGTGATACACGTGAGGTACGTGTCACTTGTTGTATGACAAATATATGTGTTATATATATGCATACAATATTCACGAGTTCTTCATTTTTCTGACTGTAAATGCCGTGCATTGAATTTAACAGAAATGTGAACGAGAGACGTTATTTATCTTTGACCCATCAAATGAATGGAATCATTTATTTTCAAAATCAAAGTTTAACATCAAACATTTACATTAATTTGGCATAATATGAAAATAATAACAGACAGTTTCACAGAAAATGAACTTCAAATCACTCGGCGGTGATTTGAGGACTTTGCTTCAGACATTTCTAAAAATATCTGTACTGTTTTATGAGAGAGAAGAGTTTAAGATTAAATTGAGATTTATCTTACAGAGGAAATGTGTGAGGGAATTTAATCTGTTTGACCAGAAGTTGCACGCTCCGTCAGATCTCCAGCCTGTCCACGGTACACTTTAGTCGAAGAAGAGGCCGTTACCTGATTGATGATAGATCAGCTCAGTAAGAATCCTTTTTCAACTGATATCAGCGTCTCCGTTGAAAACAGCTAAAATCCTCGAAGAGTCGTGCGTGGTTAGTTCAAAACAGAATTATAATCCCAAAACCTCTGGATTCTTCATTGCTCTGAAACTTTCAGAACCGGCTGCACTCTCAATCTGCTCATTCTGTTGGACTATCGGACCTGTTGTCAGCTCTCAATCCAACATCTCTCAGAACTCTCAATCTCTTGGAATTCTGGAATTCATAATTCTCTATTCTCTCTTGAACTGAGAAATTGCCACATTTTATTTGGGTCGACTTCCTGTTCAATTTAGAGCTTTCTGATTCGTGGAAGGACCAGAAAGAGGAGTGGTTTTTGACGTAAGGTGTTTATCAACAGTCGAGGTCAGAGAATGAAACTTGTTTAACATACAGAAAAGATTATTGCAGAAGCAGCAGACTTTTTGGAGTCTACTCTTAGTAATCTTCTGAAAAAGTTTAAACATGACATTTCTTCTTCAGTAAACATTTTAGTTGACCGAAGACCAACCTTTCACATACTTACGACAGCTTGCTCATTTCAGACCGAAAATCAAGAAAGGCATATTCAGGTGATTTCTTCTCTGAATGAGGAACAAAAATCATTACTTACTGTTTATGTAAAATAAAAATTAGTAGTTCTTTTCAACCTGTAAAGCATTGAGTGAACTAACACAATTTGATTATCAAAACATTTGTAAGACAGTAATGATTATAAAGAATTGTCTTTTCTGCTTGATTAATTCAAGAAAGAAAGTTCATCAGATGGTTCAGACTTATTCAGATCAATGAAAATAACAGTCTCTGTCCATCTGGTAGATTTGAGGTCATCTGGTTCACTACAAGTCCAAGGAGCCACAACAAAAAGAGTCCCACAAGCAGCACGTTTTGACTTTGTCCTTTGATTTATTGGTTTGTCATGAGCAGGGGTCTTGAAACTTTACAATCAAAAGAGTCATTTTTACACCTTTATTCACTAAATTAAACGTATTCAGAGCCGCAACAACTTGCTACAACTGTGATTATCAACTAGTGGCCCATGGGCCACTTTAGTTTTGTTGGAGGAGACTTTTGTGGCCAGTAGCGGTGACATTATAACGATAAAAATATCTAATGGTTTTTAACATTTATTGATATTTCTAAGACTAATGAAAAGACCAGATTCTTGTAAAGAGGGAGAAAATAGTTAAAACAAACAAACTATGAGCTGCAGATCTATATATCTTTTTTAAATTGTGGAAAAAATAAGTCAAAGTCAAAGTGAGTATTTGCAAAATAAAAGAAAACAGCTAAAACTATTATTTTTGTTGTTTGTATGACAACCAATCACATTCAGTTTTCTGTTAGTTTTGGTCAAAGCTTGAAAGAGCCGCTGCGGAGGGACCAAAGAGCTGCTCCAGAGCCGCAGATTGCAGAACCCTGGTCATGACCGTTGGATAAATAAATATATTTTCATTATACTCAAATAAGCCACACTGAGGACACAAGAAGATTTTAAACTGGTTTTACTTGCAATGACTTATTGAAAACAGACTACAGATATTCACTGCACGGATCATGTCACTGAATGAGCATCGAACATTTTGCTGCAGACTGTCATCCAGCAGAGTCCAGACTTATAAGCAGCTGCAGTCGGATCCATGGATGTCGGCTGGTCGACCTCCAGCTGGAGGTAAGAGAACGTTTTGGGCATGTTCTCAAGGCGTCAACACCAGTGAGCGAGTCGGCGAGCTGGCCTTCAGGCCAAGAGAAGAGAACGTTTTGTGCACAGAAAGATGTTCTCAGCTATAATAAATAGATTCATTATGGAAATTCTCAAACAATGACTTGTGTTTTGTTATTTAACAAGTAAATTACATCATGTTTTGGAGGCATAAATGTACATAGGGGGCACCAGGATTTGAACCAGGGACCTCTTGATCTGCAGTCAAATGCTCTACCACTGAGCTATACCCCCTGACAGATGTGTAGTGAGTCATTACACAGCAGTGGTTCTGTCCATGTCTGTGGATTTGTGAGTTGTGTTAGTAAAATATCTCATGGACCACTGGACATATTTTAAGAAAACTTTTACCTTAGCCAACCCCAAAATGGTTTTATTCCAGTCAGTTTTACAGATACTGAGCTCAAATTTAGCGTGGTGTTAGCTGAGAGTCTTCCTTCACACATACTTTAAATGCTATACTTTTTTTTTTAATGTGTCATTTTTGCGTATTACAGCATGACTTGTATTGAATTGTCGATTGCGTTCATTTGGCATCTCTGGGTTTTGTTAGATTTACACACAAAAAAAACCCACTCCAGTAAATAACTCTGTGTCTTTATTCTAAAAAAACTGAGATACAGAACATGAACTTGTGCTTCAACAAACAGCGTACAGAATCATAAATGCTTGTAAACTCGTTACATTCGCCCCATTCGCTTGTCACCCAGTGCATGTTGGAAAACTGGAGCGCTTCTTCACTTCAGCACATTCAGGTAAACACCTCAGGTGGCCTGCTATGGGGTGCCGTTTGTAAAGTTACAGTCAAAAATTAACAGCAATACTTTGGCAATGTTTTTGTTTATTTGGCCTTTTCTAATAATTTTTTTTCCATTTCATATTTTCACCATGTTATTCATACATAGTTCCCAACTAAATATTTAATTTATAAGCTAAATACTTAACTTGCAAGTTAAATATTTAGTTAGTAAACTAAACCATTAATGACAATCAGGTGTGTCGGAGCACAGAAACAACTAAAACCTGCAGGATGGTGTTCCTCAAAGTTAAATATTTAGCTAGTAAACTAAATATTTAGGTGTAAATTAAACATTTAATTTCCAAACTAAATATTTATTATTAAAACTAAACATTTAATTTCCAAACTAAATATTTATTGTCCCAGCTAAATATTTAAATTCCAAACAAAACATTTAATTTCTAAGCTAAACATTAAATTTCCAAAATAAATATTTAATTTGCTAACGAAATATTTAACTCTGACCTAAAAATTTAACTTGGACCTTGCAAATTAAATATTTAGCTCAGAGTTAAATATTTAGTTAGCAAATTAAATATTTAGTTTAGGAATTAAATGTTTAGCTTAGAAATTAAATGTTTATAGTTTGGAAATAAAATATTTAGCTTGGACAATAAATATTTAGTTTGGGAATTAAGTGTTTAGTTGTGAAAATAAATATTTAGCTTGGAAAATAAATGTTTAATTTACACCTAAATATTTAACTTGCAAGTTAAGTATTTAGTTTAACTAAGTGTTTAGCTTGTAAATTAAATATTTAGTTGGGAACTATGACATTTATAAATGTATGAATAACATGAAGAAAATATGACTGAAAAAAAAAAACCTATTTTTTTCTTATTAAAGGATCAATAAACCAAAATATTGCTGTTAATTTTTGACTGTGTAACTTTACAAACGGCACCCCATAGCCTTCATTATATCCCGTTTTAACAAACAGATGGTACAACTCGGAGCTGCACGGCACAGATAAACACAAACAAAAGATCTGTCATGACTGAAACCACCAGTGAATCCACAGAAACTGTGACGTTTGATCACTTCTTCCTGATGAAACGACACGCTCAGCACACGCTGCTGATTCACGTCAGAGTGTCACAAGAAAAGTGAGATGAAAGCTCCTTTGTTGCTCTGCCAAGCTTTCAACCTTCATCCTCCCCAGAGTCACACAGTTTATTTTATTTCATCAAACCCCACAGTAACACTGAATCTAAGTTTTTACAACTCCAGCTCAAAAGAAAAGTTGGGACATTGTGCCAAATGTCAATAAAACAGAATGTAGCAATGTGAAAAAAATCATAAATCTTAATCACAGTGGAGCATCCAATGAAACGGTACCATAGAAAACCAAGGCAATTTGAATTTGACGGCATCGACACACGACAAAAATTTGTTCCACAACAACCATCTGCAAATGTCCAGAACCTGAAGAGACCAGCTGTCTGTTGTCCCTTCCTGGTTTCAAGGATTTGAGCTGTTCAACAGTGCTGGGTCTGCTTTGTTGGATCGGATCAGATGTTACCACCATAGTTCCCAACCCTAATCCTTGAGGAACACCATCCTGCATGTCTTAGTTGTTTACCTGCTCCAACACGCCGGATTCAGTGATTTAATTACTTCCTCATGTTCTGCAGAAGCTTGTTGAACACCCATTAATGAAAATCAGGCGTGTTGGAGCAGAGAAACAACTAAAACCTGCAGGATGGTGTTCCTCAAGGACCAGGGTTGGGAACCCCTGCTGTTCATGGTAGAGACACTAATGCACCCCTATACCATCAGAGAGGCAGGCTTTTGACCTGTGCGCTGATAAACAGGCAGGATGGTCCCTCTCCTTTTTAGTATGAGGGATGTGGTGTTTGCGGTTACCAAAAATAATTTAAAATTTGGACTTGACTGACCTCAGAACAGTTTTTCACTTCGCCTCAGGTCATTTTAAACGACCTTTGTCCAGGAGCAGACAGCTGTGTTTCTGGATGGTGCTCACTTATGGCTTCCTGAAGGGCTTTTGCTGATTTTATGACCTTTAGACGTTGGTACATTCAAAGCCTTTTAGACTTTCGTTTGAGCAGCATTATTCTGAAATCATTTAACTATTTTCAGAGTTTTTCACAGACTGGTGAACCTCCGCCCATCTTTACTTCTGATAAATTCAGCCTCTCTAAAATGCTCTTTACTCACAACTCTTACCAGTTTAATCAGTTACAAAATGCTCCTCCAGCTGTTTCTTACTTGACTTTTACTGCCTCTGTTGCACTTTTCAACCTTTTTGAGATGCGTTGCCTTCAAGTTCAAAGTCACCTTATTATTTAAAAAATATATAATTTCATTCTTTCAACATTTATTACATTTCCAATGTTTCATTGTGAACAAAATATGGGTTCATGAGATTTGCAAATCACTGCGTTCCATTTTAATTACATTTTACACAATGCACTAATTGTTTGTTCGGAATTGGGGCCGTGTCTTTACGAGAGGCGCGGTACTTTATGCAACCAGCGCCTCTTCGACTATAAAAAAATATTTTAAATTCCAAATCATTGCACTTCTTTTTTCACAAGCTTAAATGTGCATTTCTTATTATATAAAAAAAGTGAATGCAGATATATATTTTAAACATATTAGCTTTAATTTATTCTCTGTTTACTGAAACCTGAGTATGGGATGTGTAGCTTTCAGAACCAGTGGTTGATTTTACGTCGCTGGCTTTGACAACTTTTTCGACCCTGCAGGCAGGAATAATCTCTTCATTGCACAGAACCCTGAAGGAACGCTGCTGTTAAACAACAACACACAAAAAAAAAATAAACCAGGAGGCACTCTGAGCTCTCTGTGACGCCGAAAGCGCGACATCCCTCGCTCTACAGCAGCGTCTCGGCAGGTTGTAGAGGGAGGAGAATGAATCAATCTGCACAACTATGGCTTTTTTAAAAACAGTCGTCCTAGCTGCTGGGCAGGATGGGGTCAGAGACGTGCCTTTGGATCTCCTGCAGGTCTGTGGAGGTCTCCAGATGGTCAGGGAGGGAGGGGAAGCGCTGGCTCCCACTTAGCAGTCCAGGAGGTTCTTCAGCATTAGGGGACAGCAGCTGAGGGGAAGGGACGTCCGCAGAGATCGGATGGGGACGGTCCACCTCTGGAGACATGGTGTCATCTGTCAGCTGGACACCGCTGGACAGGGAGTCTTTGGACTTGTGCCGAAAATCAGAGTCTGGACTCTGAAAATGCAAAATAGGTGAATTAGACCAGGCATAAACAAACCTCCAATCTTTCTGACTACCGTACTTTTTGGCCAATAAGTCGCAGCTATTTTGCATAATTTATATTCCCTGCACTGAAACAACTTTTTATGTTTTTTCCCCGATATTTATAAACCAATTTTTGGCTGCGATATGACCGTTTTGGTATGGTGTGGTATGGTATGAAGTTTATTCATTTTAAAAAAAGTACAAAACAATTCCATAACAATATATAAAAAAGATACAAAAAAATTTAAAATGAAAGGCAGCAGAAAGAAGAAAAAATCTTATTATATCTGCCCCTTTTTTCAAACAATTATTTCAGACATAATAATTTTCAAGTAACAGAACAAAATGAATAACTCTTTCTAATTTTTCTAATTCTAATACAAAACACACACTAAGCTACTTCATATATATTTTTTTTAACAATTCAGCTTTGATCTTTTTCTTAAATGTGCACATTGACTTGGCATTTTTCACATCACTCTCTAGAACATTCCACAATCCAACTCCTTGGATTGAGGTAGACCTTCCCTTCAGACTAGTTCTGAATTTTGGTTTGACAAATATCTCTATCCCCTTAAGATTGTAGCAACTTTGTCTTTTAATAAAATTTCTTTGGATATTTAATGGTAATGTGTTATTTTGAGCCCTATACATAACTGATAAAATACTATAATCTACCAAATCATGGAACTTCAATAAGTTCAGTTGATAAAATAATGTGCTTGATGGGTGACTGTAATGCTTTCTGGTGATAATTCTTACAGCTCTTTTCTGTAAGATAAAAATAGGTTTTGTAAATGTTTTACACGCTTTCCCCCAAACATCAATGCAATAGATTAAATGTGGAACAATGATTGTGTTATACAACATGTACAGAGCTTTATCATTTAATAATTCCCTGACTTTGTATAGTACTGCAATAGATTTAGATATTTTTGTTCTTACAGAATTTATGTGATTTTTCCATGTTAGCTGTTCATCAATGATTACACCCAAAAATTTCATCTCATTAACTCTACAAATCTCAACACCCTCAATTTTAAATGGATCGTCAACAGTTTTCTTTTTGTTACTAAATATCATGTATTTAGTTTTATCTAAATTTAATGATAATTTATTAATTTTAAACCAAGTTTGTATTTTATCAAATTCTGTCTTCATCAGTTCCAACATCCGTTCTACATCTTTTCCCAAACAAAAAAATGTGGTGTCATCTGCAAAAAGGACACATTTGAGGAGTCCTGATACATTCACTAAGTCATTCACATATAAAATAAATAACTTTGGTCCAAGTACAGAGCCTTGAGGAACTCCACAAGTGATATTGCACAGGTCAGATCTTACACCATTTATTTGTACAAACTGTTTCCTATCTTTTAAATAGCTAGATACCCAGTGTAATGCTGGTCCTCTTATACCATATTTATTTAATTTTTCAAGGAGAATAGCGTGGTCAATAGTATCGAATGCTTTTTTTAAATCAACAAAAATACTAACACAATACTGTTTTTGATCGACAGCAGTAGTTATTTGTTCCATTATTTCCATGAGAGCCATTGATGTAGAGTTTTTTGCTCTAAACCCATACTGACTGTTACTTAGAATGTTTTGTTTAGTAATAAATTTATCTAATCTGGTCACAAACAGTTTTTCTAGAATTTTTGAGAATTGTGGTAATAAGGATATTGGTCTATAATTATTGAACACACATTTATCACCATTTTTAAAGAGAGGAACTACCTTAGCTACTTTCATATTGTCTGGAAATATTCCTTTTGAAAATGATAAATTACAAATATATGTAAACGGCTCGATAACATAACTCATTATGTCCTTTACAAACATCATATCCATGTCCACCCAGTCTTTTGATCTCTTATCTGTAAGATTTTTTACTACATTCATTATTTCTTCTTTGTCAGTTCCATTAAGAAAAATACTGTTGTCACAACCTATAACTGAATGGTTCACATTATTGTCTACTTTTGGTATTTTAGCTGCAAGGCTTGATCCAATGTTCACAAAATGACGATTAAATCCATTTACAATTTCATTTTCATCATGGATTTCATCGTCATCTTTCAAAAAATATTGTGAAATACCTGTTTTTGCTTTATGACTTTTCAGAACACTATTTATTATTTGCCATGTTGCTTTCATATCACCATTGCTTTTATTTAATAAATCACTATAATATTCCTTCTTGTGTTTCCTTATAATCGCTACTAATTTATTTTTATACTTCTTATATTTCTCTTCAGCCTCTTGTGTTCTCAATTTCAAGAAACGTGTATACAAATAATTCTTTTTTTTTTTACAAGCATTTCTCAACCCTTTCGTCATCCATGGTTGGTCAACAACATTTCTCTTTGTACAATTATTTTGCACACAATTCTTTTCATACAGAGCTCCTAAAATATTCATAAACTCATCATATGATCTGTTCACATCATCAACATACACGTCTTTCCAGCTTTGTTTATGTAAATCATCTTTTAATTTGTCCATTGCTTTTTTTGATGTGTTTATTGTTTTTTCCTTAATTGTAATTTCTTTTGTAATGCTTTGATCATTTTTATAAATCATGAAAACTGGTAAGTGATCACTCAAATCACTCGTTAAAATACCTCCAATCACATCCCCATTTGTTACATTTGTGAAAATATTATCGATTATTGTAGCACTATGAGTTGTAATTCTTGTTGGTTTTGATATTAACGGATAAAGATTTAAACTATACAATGAATTTGTAAATGTACTGATGTTATTTGAATCTGTTTTATTTCCCAGGTCAATATTAAAGTCTCCACACAAAAAAATGTTTTTATTAAAACTCTTGTCCAATAGTTGTACCATTTTATCAGTGAATATTTCTATATTTGATCCATGTTTTCATTTATTCTGACATGGAAAATATTGAACACTACCATTTTCAGACACTAGGTGGCACTCTAGCAGTATGGCATGCAGTTGTGTCAGGTAAAATTGGCTATTAATGACACAATCGGCTTGCCACAGCCTGCCACATACGTCCAGCTCGCCTGCAGCAACCGTCAAATCAGCTTCATTTCGCTGCTCCGCCCCGGTGAAATGCAGCTGATTTGACCGTCAAAGTATATTTATTAAGGAAAAATTAGACTGAGACACACATTTGCTATAATGTCAAGCAAACAAATAATTGCTTTTAAGTGTTAATCTTGTTAAATTCTTGTTAAAGTCCTGTGCACGCTCTCGCGACCGCCATTTGGCAGCCAATCAATTTTTGGCTCAACACATGTCCACATTTCCGGGCTGTCAGCGGTGACAAGCCATAAATGTGACTTATATGACAAAGCGAGGTATTTATGTATTTTTCCACTTCATTAGACATATTTGGACTGATGCGACTAATAGGGTGGTGCAACGTGTACGGCGGAAAATATGGTAATTAGAAACTTTAACTTCCCGATCCTGTTTTCTTTAATCTGCACCAGCAACATCTACAAAACTGCAAATACCAGTTAAATGTAAGCAGCAAACAGCCTTAGTATAAAATCCGTCCTGGTACCAGTAGCAGTGAGGCAGAGCCGTCGGTCTGTAGCGGCTGGACTGGGGGGACGGTGTGGATCGTGGGGGCTCCTGTGCTGTACAGTGAGGTGGGGTGAGGCAGGCTGGGGGACAGAGAGCTGTAGGCTGGAGGAACCGGGGCCATTTGCCTCTGGAGCAGCTGCAGGATCACATTGATGTCTGCGGTCATGCGGGTCTCCAGCCTAGACAGGAAGTAAGGAAACAGAATTTCTAATTAACGCTAATTATAGGAGCCCACTGGGTGTCACCACAAAATCTCTTTATTTTATTCTTACAATGTAAAGAGCAAACAAGAGTTTAGAAGGAGGCACGTTAGACTTTAGTCATTGTTGTCGGTCTTATCTTTGACCCTTTTTTTTTAAATAGTTTTCCCTTCCAGCTCTTTTTTCTTTCTTTCAAACTGTGAAAAGGCTCCGCTGGAAATTTACTGATAAACCCCACAGGGAGGAGCTGTGATCAGGACACAGACACGTGGCCGCAACAGGAAGATCAACCGTGTGCTGCTATCTCAGTGTAGGGGGTATAGCTCAGTGGTAGAGCATTTGACTGCAGATCAAGAGGTCCCTGGTTCAAATCCGGGTGCCCCCTCAGAACATTTATGCTTCTGAAATGAGATGAAATTTAATTTACCTGTTCAGTTGTGACTGCAGGAGCTCTAGTCTAGATTCTAATTCTCTGGGCCGGTCCTCAGCGAACACATGAGGCTGAAAGCTCGTCCTCGCTGTGGACGTTTGTCTCTGGTTGTCCGACAGCTGACTGGACCTGCGGTCCGTCCAGTAGCTGTACAGGCCCGGCATGCTGAGAGGAGCCGCTGCTGCAAGAAAAAATTTAAACGTAAAGATGGAAGCCCATCAAATATTGTTTTTAATCAACTAACTTCCTCCATTTTTGTCTTATTTAGCTTCTTTTAGTTTTTTATTCCTGCTACTTTTAGCTTGTAGTTAGCATTTTGCTACTTTTAGTTACACTTCTGTTTGTCTTTAGCGTTTACCTTCTGTTCTGCATGTTTTGGCTTGTAGCAAGCCTTATTTAGCATTGCTACATTTATCTTGCAGCTAGCCTTTTTCTACTTTTAGCTAACAGTTTGCTACCTTTAGCTAGCACATTGCTGCTTTTATCTTGTAGGTAGTCTTTTGCTATTTGTAGCCTATAGTTAGTCTTTTACTACATTTAAGTTTTAGCCACACCTTTGCAAATCTTTAAACCAGCCTTTTGCTACTTTTAGGCAGCCTTTTGTAGCTGTTTTTAGCTACGTTTACATTTTAGCCAATGTCTGACACATGATTCAACTAGCATTTTGCCATTCTTAGCTTTAAGCTAGCGTTTTGCCTTTAATTTTTAGTTACCGTATTTTTCGCTGTATAAGTCGCACATTTTTGCATAAATTGGCAAGTTCTGCAACTTATACACCAAAACGACTAATATACATTTTCCCCCATATTTACAATATAACCCAATTTTTGGCTTTTATCTGATGATTTCATTCATTCTGACATGGAAAATATTGAACACTATGATTTTCAGCCGCTAGAGGGCCTTTGAGTAATATGGCAAGTGTCTCATGAGACACTTGTCTTGCCATACAGAGCCACCATCGTCTCGCTCTGGAACGCCTGGAGCAAACGTCAAATCAGCTGCATTTCACTGCGTCGCCCAGGTGAAACGCAGCTGATTTGACCATTAAAGGACATTTATTAAGGAAAAGTTCAACTGAGGCACACCTTTCCTATAATGTCAAGCAAACAAATAATTGTTTTTAAGTATTAATCTTGTTAAACTCTTGTTAAAGTCCTCCCGTGCACGCTCCCGCGGCCGCCATTTGGCAGCCAATCGATTTTTGGCACACCGGCCCACGTTTTCGGGTTGTCAGCGGTGACGCATAATAGATGCGACTTAATGGCGAAGCGAGGTATTTATCTTTTTCCCCATTTCATTAGACATATTTGGACTGATGCGACTTATACGGCAGAAAGTACGGTAGGTTTTTTTTTTTTTGTTCTTTTCAATTGTTTGGCAACTTTAGCATGTAGCTGATGTTTTCTTTCAACACATCTCTTCTAGTTTGAAATCAGATAATCAAAATTCACACGTTTTTGTTGGTTACAGCTGACAACTGTGATTTTTGAAGAAAAAAGAAGCACTTTTTAAATATTTCACGACTATAGTGACTATCATGGACTCGGAGCAGACACGATAAAAGCAGCGCTGGTAGATTTGACCTGAATATGGAGGACCCCCAAGCTCTACAGACTGTCCCACTCCGGCTGAGGGTCCGCTGTGAGGCGGGAGGCTGACCACCGCAGGCTGGTAGTCTCTGCTGTCGCCTCCATGAACGTACAGCTCTTTCTTGTTGTGCTGCACAGGTTTGAGTTCCTCATCGCTGGACTGAGAACAACTGCTGCAGAGATCCTCCCAGTGGGATCCTGCCCCGGCGCTTCGGTGATGGTTGGCCATCGAACAGGACCGGTCAGGGTAAGAATCCTCGTGATCCATTCCGTCTGGACAGACAAAGTGAGAGGACGGAGGTGGTAAAACATGACGCAGGTGCAGAAACTTGAGCAAAAACCTTTGCTCCTCGCTCACCTGGTCTGTTCCGACGACGCAGGGAGCCTCTGCGATGCCTTGTCGGACGGCAGCCACATTCAGAGTTCCTGCTTGGGGTTGTCTGGTTTATTCTATCTGCCTGATACATATTAGTTTCAGTGATTCAAATATACAAAACGGATCTTTTGTCAATTAAATCAACCCATGAAGTTCGTGAGAAAGGAGGCGTTTCATTCTGTATCTGGATGCTTGGAGTAACGCCGCCCCCTGGTGGCACTCACATCTCTCAAATTGAAGGTAATCTCCAAGTTGCTCCAGAACAAGTCTGCGAAGTCGGGATACATGTCGAGGACCTCCAGCAGGTCGTCCCGCAGGATCTTGTGGAGGTCACAGTAAGTCAGAGCTCTGACGTCGGCGCTAGATTTCCCCGGCCTCACGTACAGGCCGTTAGGTTCCCCGAAGATGTCGTTCTTTCCTACAGAAAGCGCAACACAAGCAGCATCTCTCTTGAGAGTAGAGCTTTAATAAATGTAAAAAGAGTGCACGGAGGTATTGATGACTCAGCTGTGATCAGCTGCAGCTCGACGGCTCAGAACAAATCGGCCGCCCTCACACACACGGCTGTAAAAGAAATGACCTCCGCAGCCTGGATCTGAGCGGCGCTATTGATGATCAATGCTTTAGTGGAATGAAAGTGGAGCTGTGCCCAAACACCGCTGGCAGCGCCACACACACACAGTGGCTTATTATCACGGAAAGGTTGTCACTGTGGCGTTGTTCGGCATTATGTACTCATTTTAAAACTTTAAGTAAAAAAATCTTAGCTCATTACTTAAATATGTTTCAATGCTGCTCACCCAGTATGGCCACCACCACGTCATCCCTTAAAATCTCTATGGACCCTCTGGAAATGAAGTAGAGGGCGGTGAGAATGTCTCCGCTGTGGACGAGAGTGTCCCCCGGCGGAGCGTGGGTGGTCTTAAACCTCATGGCCAGCGCTCGCAGGCAGCCTTTGTTGGCGCCTCGGAAAGCTTTGCAGTTCTGCAACAAGCTGCGGTGCAGATGAAGGCAGATGTCGGCTTGCAGACAGTCGGGGAAGCCTTTTAAAACCTGCAGGAAAACAAAAGCAAACGAAACCCCACGAAGACTTGAAGTCGTGTTTGCTGCTGCTGCTGATCGAGCATTCACGCAGTTCTGTTCTTCTGCTTGTAGTTCGCAATCGAACGTCTTCGTCGTAATTTGTTTTTTTTAATTTACCCGGCGTTCATACAACAGAACGTTCAGCTCATTCTGGAATAGTGTGATGCGACTCTTAGTTTTAATAATTTGCTGAAATGTTTACCCAAATTGACAATATTTTTATATAATACATTGAGATCTTCTTAATCTTTAAAAAACATTGTTCTCTTGAATCTATATTTATACACTCCTTACTATTGTTATATATATTTATTATATTATTTGTTGTTTACTTCTGCTACTTTTTATGTTTATACACAATTTAGCTTATTTTAGCTTTCGGCTATTAATTTCCTACATTTAGCTTTATTTAGGGGTAGTGGTGGTGCAGAGGTTAAAGAAGGTGGGCCTGTGATCGGAAGGTTGCTGGTTCAACTCCTCGTACCGACCGTCAAAATGTGGGTGGGATAGGTGAAACACCAACACCTGCCTCCACGCTCATTTGCCCCACTCTGGGCCCTTGAGCAAGGCGCTTAACCCCCACCATCCGCCCCCCACAGATGGCAGCCCCCTGCTCCACACAGAGGGCTGTGGTAGCTCGGTGGTCTGTGGTTGCATCAGGAAGGGCATGTGGCGTAAAATAAAACACTCGCCAAGTCGCTGCGGCGACCCCTGAAGAAGGGACCAGCCGAAAAAAAAAAATAATAATAACTTTTAGCTTTTGTTATCCTAAGTTTAGATTTTAATTACTGTTTTGTTCATTTTAATTTAGCAATTTTCCACTTTTAGCTATGGTTCAGCTAATTTTTGCTTTTAGCAACAGATTTGCTAAATCTAGCTTTTACAAAGTAGTTTGGGTTTTGATACTTTGAGCGTTCGGTAAGAGTTTCGATGTTTATGATCTTGATGGGGGCTGCAGGAGCTCGGTGGTTGGTGAGGCGGTCCTTTAGTCCTGAAGTCGCAGGTTCGAGCCCAGGTTGAGAAAAAATGGGACTCAGATGTCAAACAGTTGCTAAATGGTTCAGTTCCTGCAAAACGGAGTAGCTGAACGCAAAGATGTTAATTTTAGCTTTCAGCTATGGTTTTACTAAATTTACTTTTGGCTGCATTTTACTTATTTAATTTTTTTTTTTTTTTTACATTTAGCTACAGCGCTTCTAATTTTATTTTCTAGCTATGGTTTTTCTGACTAGATTTAGCAACTGTTATGCTAATTTTAGCTTTTGGCTAGTTTTGTTAGCTTCTAGTTGCTCTTTTTCCAACTTTACATTTTCGTTATGATTTAGCTGTTTTTTTATTACATTTTTTTTTCTCTTGGCTACTTTTCACATCTCTATCTTTTACTTTTTCCAAATTTATTTCAGTTCTGTTCTGCTCGTTTTAACTTCAACAGTTCAGTTTTAGTTTCTTGAACAAAGTTCAGGAGCGCTCACGTCCCTTCTCCAGTTAAACTGTGGTTTTAAAGCAGGAAGGCGACGCTGACGGGTACTTTAAACAGAGCTCCGGGGATAAATGGGAGCAGACTGACTCAGGCGGACATCAGCTCAGGACGGCAGATCTAACTGATTATCTGTTCTCACACTGAAGCAGCGAGAGCGAACGTGGTGTTATTAGCTGCAGAAGTCCGAGGTGTTTGGAGAAAATAGGTCACCATCAACAGCTAAATAAAAAGGGGAAACATCTGCAGCCGAATGCTCTACCATTAAACTACATGTTTTAGGCAAAATAAGACATAAAAAAGGCACCAAGTGTAAATAAAATTAAAGTTTCACTACTGCTAAAGTGGGTCAGTGCAGCAGGACTGAGCGATGCAAACAAACTGCAACACAATGTCACAGGTTACGCAACAAAAGGGCGAAAAAATACAATGAAAGCAAGCAGCGCTGCAATAGACGGCACAATGCGAGGTAAAGAAATTGTTTTTGTCTGCTTTAACCAGCAGGACTTTGGTTAAACACAAACATGGATGTTTGCATTCCATATAAATTTAATTCCTCGACATCTTCATCTGTTGTTAAACGCTTCAACAATCAGCATTTAGATGAAGATTCTGCATCACCGCAATTTGAAACGTGAAAAATTAGTAATAATTGTTAAGGATTTGACGTTTTGGAGGCATTCGACAAGCATTTAACGTACAGAAAGCCCACAGACTGTATGACCCATCAGTCAGTGAGTAAACCTCAGTCGTCTGAGCACCTTTAGAAAAGGACACGGCGGGGCTCTGCAGGACGACTGAGCCATCGCAGCAACTAAAACAAACACAAACACGCCAGAGAGGGAACATACAGCACATCTGAGGCAGCTGCAGTAAAATGGAGCTAAGAAAAGATCACGTCAAGAAAGCAGAAGAAGAAAAAATGCTAATCTAATGCGTGTACGTTGAAAACGAGTCCTCACATTTGTAGACGTTTGACCTGTGAGCTTTCTGAGTGACGAAGGCGTCCAATTTAGAACTGACGATCTCCTGACCTGCATTAAATCGCTCTGCCACATCAGGACCAAAACTCCAAGTTAAAAGTTTCAGCAGAGAAGCTTGTTGCAACATGTATTTTCATTTCATCTCCAAAACCAACATTTTTTATTGGAGATTATTTGAGTTTACGTCGCCGACTTACAGCGTTCATGTCGATGCCGTTGGTGTAGGACCAGGCGTGCTGGAAGTACTCCTCCAGTCTTTGCCTCAGGCCTCCTGGGATCTGGTGGAAGCGGATGAACTCTTTGACCCGCAGCATCTGAGTGTGGTAGCGGGCGGTGCCGGAGTACAACCTCTGAATGATGGCAGACACGTTCCCAAAGATGCTGGCGTACATCAAAGCTGCACGAGACAGAAGAGCCGAGGGCTCGGTTGGACGTGAGATCTCACAAATGTTATAGGTTTGACTCACGGCATTCTTTGCATTTACCTCCAACCACGATTACGTGATAAAATGTAAACAAGAACAGAATGCGTTGATCTGGAAATTTCACAAATCTAATTAAAAAATATATGTCAAGCGGTAAAGAAGTCGTAACGTTTGTAGGAAAACATGCGGTGACTTAACTTTGATGGCAGCAACACGTCTGAAGGAACTTGTCCCAGGTCCATGTCTGTCACAGTGTGAATCAGTTTAACATCAGTCTGTACACGTTCAGCAGCTGAGGACCAGCTGATGGAGGTTTTGGACGGGACGTTGTCCTGTTCTTTTCTCATGGAGCATTTTAGCTGTTCAACAGTCCTGGATCATCTTTACTGGGTTTTTAGTTTCATGATGTGCAACATGTATTTAAGTGGTGAGAGGTCTGAACTGCAGGTAAGTCACTTCAGCACCCGATCTGTTTTGCTATGAAGCCACAGTGTTGTAATGGACACAGAATGCAGTTTAGCATCGTCTTGCTGAAATATGCGAGGCCTTCCCTGACGAGGCAAACTCTGTCTGGATGGGTGGATGTGTTGACTTAAAACCTGTATGTACCTTTTGGCTTTGACGGCGCCTTTCCGTGTAAACTGCTCATGCCAGAGGCACTAATGTACCCCCATACCATCAGAGAGGCAGGCTTTTGAACTGTGTGCTGATAATAGGATGTTCCCTCTTTAGTTCAAAAGACTGTCTGTTGTTTTTGAAAAAAAATATCAATTAAACAAATTCAAAGTCGGATCTGTCTGACTGCAGAACAATCCTGGACGTTGCCTAAATTCATTTTAAATGTTTTGGTCCAGAGAAGACAGCAGTGGTTCTGAAAGGTATTCACATCTGGCTTCTTCCTTCTGATGGGGGATGTAAAGGTCACGGATGTTTCACTTACTAATGTCAGACTGATATTGAACCATATATGTGAAGACAGGAGAGTCTTTGTCTACTCAGAGAAGAGCCTGATAACTGATAAACTCTGACGCCTTCAGCTACCGTGAGCTGTGAAGCAGAGGTCTTCTTGACCTCTCCTCTGTCTGATAATGGGTATTGAAGCTTTTGATAGCTCGTTCTCTGTGGGCAGACCTTGTGATCCGGGCGTGATGCAACATCCTGTATGCCGGTTTTCAACGCTGCTCCTTTCGCAAGATTAAACCTGGATTGACAAGATCTTCTTAAGCCACTTATTATCCAACACTTTCCAAGATGGAGCTTTAAGCAGCACTAGTGGATGGTACAGTGCTTCTAACTTTTTTTTTATCTGTTGCAAATTAACCGAACTAGTTATAAAATGCTCCTCTGGTTTTTATTTGAACCTTTTGCTGCCCCAACTTCTTTTTAGGTGTGTTACTGTCATCAAAGTTATATGGGTTTATAAGATTTAATTTGCATTACATGCTGTTTTAGTAACTTTTTCAGAACTGGGATTGTTTGCATATTTTATAAACCTGCAAACTTTTTGGCATACGAAGAGCTTTCTCACAGTACTCACAGCCAATGAGCATAACACAGATGGAGAAAATCTTCTCTGGGTTGGTGTTGGGCGAGACGTTGCCAAAGCCCACGCTGGTCAGGCTGCTGAAGGTGAAGTACAGAGCGGTGACGTACTTGTCCTTAATGGAGGGGCCCGAGCTTCTGTCGCTGCTGTTGTAATGTTTCCCGATCTGGTCGGCCAGGTTGTCGAGCCAGCCGATCTTCATGCCGCCCAGGCGCTCTGACCCGGTGCGCTCCATGTTCCCGATGGCGTACCATATACATGCCAGCCAGTGGGCGATGAGGGCAAACGTGCACATGAGGAGGAAAAGGACGGCAGCTCCATATTCAGAGTAACGATCCAACTTTCTGGCGACTCGCACCAACCTCAGCAGTCTGGCTGTCTTCAGTAACCCGATCAGAGTCGTCTGAGTCTGAGGCTCCGTCTGCTGGCAGAGCAGAGTCAATGTTAGCGTCCTGAAGCTTCCTCTAATTCCACAGTCCTAAACCTTTTTAACTGATATTTGGTGCATTTAGCCACGCATGCGCTCGGACGTACAAGAGCTCAGAGGAATTATTAGAACAGATTTTTCAAACATGGAAAAATGTCAAGATCCTAACAAGCTTAACAGGAAATGTAACTTGTCTCTGCAATTCGTGACGATAAAACCAAATAAAAAGAAAAACATCCAGCGTTGCTGACACATCAAAGTTCTGTAATATTTGTGACGCTGATTCAGCAATTTTCACTATATTCCCATAGAACACACGAAGATCGCTTACGCTTCTTAAAAACGTTGTTCCTTTTAAAATCTACTTCAGCAAACTTCCTCTTTGTCTGTTTACTTGTGCTTCTTGTAGGTTTCAACATTCGGCTATTTTTAGCTCCTAGTTTGTACCAAGCATTCTGCTACTTGTAGCTTTTAGCTTGTCTACTGCTACTTTTAGCTTGCACCCCTTTCTACTTTTAGCTAACAGTTTGAAACTTTTAGCTAGCATTTTGCTACTTTTGGCTGGTTTTTTGTGCATATACCTTTTAGCTAATCTTTTAGTGCTTTTATCTAGTGTTTTGCTAACCTTTATTTTTTAGCTTTTAAATAGCCATTTTCTACTTTTAGCTTGCCTTTAAAAGTGCTGCCTAAATATCAAGCTATACTTCAGCTATTTTACATTTTAGCTAACCGTTTGCTGCCTTCAGCTAGTATTTCACTATATTTAGCTAGTCTTTTGGTACTTTTAGCTACTGTTCTGCTCCTTTAAGTTTGTACCAAGCACTCTGCTACTTGTAGCTTTTAGCTTGTCTACTGCTACTTTTAACTTGAAGTTAGCCCTTTTCTGCTTTTAGTTAACAGTTTGAAACTTTTAGCTAGCATTTTGCTCCTTTTGGCATGTAGATAGTCTTTTGCTACATTTAAGTTTTAGCTACCCGTTTGCTACAGTAGCTTTTAGATTTAGCTATTTTAGGCTGGCATTTGTATGTTAATATTTTAGCTAATATTTTAGTGCTTTAATCTAGTGTTTTGCTAACCTTTAGGTAATTTAAGCTAATGTATTTTTTTTTTTTAGCTTTTAAATAGCCATTTTCTACTTTTAGCTTGCCTTTTGCTACCTAAATTTCAAGTTGTACTTTAGCTACTTTTAGATTTTAGCTAATGTTCGCTGCCTTCAGCTAGTATTTTGCTATATTTATCTGGTCTTTTACTACTTTTAGCTACTGTTTGTGCCTTTTACTACATTTAAGCTTTAGCTACCCATTTGTTACAGTAGCTTTTAGATAGCGTTTTGCTACATTAAGCTGGCTTTTTGTACATATATCTTTTGGCTAATCTTTTAGTGCTTTTATCTAGTGTTTTGATTACCTTTAGGTACTCTAAGCTGATGTATTTTTTTAGCTTTTAAGTAGCAATTTTCTACATTTAGCTTGCCTTTTGCTACCTAAACTTCAAGCTATACTTTAGCTACTTTCACATTTTAGCTAACATTTGCTACCTTCAGCTAGTATTTTGCTATATTTAGCTGGCCTTTTGCTACTTTTAGCTATTGTTCTACTTCTTACTTTACTTTTCTACTTGTAGTTTTTAGCTTGTCCATTACTACTACTATTTACTATTTAGCTTTTTTTTTAACTAGTGTTTTACTACTTTAGCTTGTAGCTATCGTCTAGCTACTTATGCCTATTATAAAGTATTATGGCTTTTTTATCTTTTAGCTAGTGTTCTGTGTTTTTTTAAGCTTAAATAACCAAGTTTTAGCTAATTCCCATGAAAATGTCTCCATGAATCTCTGAACTGAGATTCCTCTGACTGCAGGTAAGACACTGACTGCTCACAGATACTTCACATGAACTAAAACAATGAACTGTACCTTTAAACAAACAGTGCAGAAACAGAATGTGTGACTGAAACTCATAAAAAAAATTTGTGCCAACATGGCCGAGCCCTTAATATCCGGTGTTTGCATGGTTTTCTCACCTCCTGTGACCCGGAGCGGTATATGAGCAGATCGAATGGGACGGCAGCAACTATGTCAATAAGGAACCAGCCTTTGAAATAGTGCTGAGCGATGTGACCCGGGTGGCTGACCACCTCCTCGTTGTGGTTGACGTAGGTGGTTCTGAAGTTGATGAGGATGTCCACGATGAACATGACGTCCACCACCAGGTCCACCACGTTAAGAGGGTTGCAGGTGTAGCCGCAGGAGCTGTGCTCGTCTTCGGCCTCGTTGAGGAGGAAGGCGGCGGAGTACGGCGTGAAGATGGCCGTGTATATGACCAGCAGCAGGATGACCCAGTCCCACACCGCTTTGAAGGGGCTGTAGTGAAGGATGGTCCACTTGTGGATCCGTGGAGCCTGGAGTTTGTATTCTGGCAGCACGTCCGCACCAAGAGACAGCACCTGGGTCACAAAACGGAGATTTTAAATAAAGGTCCAATAAAATTAAAGAACAAGTGTTATCAACACATGGCATGTTTTTACCGACTAAACTGGATCAAACATTTGCTTTGAACTTATTTTTGTCACATTAGAAGAGAATACATTGTCCTTTAGACTGCAGTGGTTCCCAACACTGGCCCCTGAGGAACACCATCCTGCATGTTTTAGTTGTCCAACACGTCTGATTCAGTGATTTAATTACTTGGTCAAGTTCTGCAGAAGCCTGTTTATCACCCATTCATTCAAATCAAGATTGTCGAATCTGGGCAACAACTAAAACATGCATGATGGTGTTCCTCAAGGACCATGGTTGGGAACCACTGCTTTTAGAGCACAAAAGCGTAAAAATTTCACACAAAACGTGAGGAAATAGTAAATTGCTTGAGTTGCATGTGGTTAACTGATAATACAACTATCTTTTAAATATTGATAAGTTAAGATATATTAAATTTTCTGAAGATTTCAGTTTTAGCAAGTTTTGGTCTAACGAGACTTAACGTCCACAGTCTAGTTTAAATTTAGCCTCAGTGTCTGGTTTGTAATAAACATCCAAGACTTAGAAAGGTTATTTAAACACAATTAATGTTTACAAAAGGAAAAACAAAAAAAAAAGGCATTCTATTGATATTTTTGATTTTTTTTTTCCTTTAAAAACTGTGACAACATTTTACTTTATTGGCAGTTGTGTTTTTCTTGCCCAAAAATAAAAATCACGATAAAGAAGAAAGCGGCACCAACAGGACAATGCACTGCAGGATAATAGTCTGAATTAAATATTATATACCAAATTAAATAGTTAAACACATACATTTAGATATTTAAACTCCACTTTTCACAATAAAAGTCCTTCAACAAGACTTTAAAATGCAGGGACAAGAATAAATTACTAACTTAAAGCACTTTATGTCTTATGATAAACATTATTTTGAGTTTAGCCTCCATTTAGACCAGCTGTGATGTTGAACAAGCAGCACCAAAGATGAGTCATGCCTCCCCAACACATCAACGGTGAAACAAAATGTCCCGGCAGGTCAACAGCAGCAGCTCGATGTTTCTGAAAGTGACTCAGAAACAATTCCTGCCTCCTCACACTTCAGACGCTCTGATCTGTGCAGGACCATTATCAGGCGGAGCAGATCTATCAGTGAGTCAGACATGAGTACAGCTGACCTCTACCACAATAAAAACCACCGTGTCCAGGTCCTGGTGTCGACCCGCAGCAACAAAGCAGCTCCTTCCTGCCTCAGATTTTTATAAACGCAACAATCCAGCTGTAAAATCCTCGACTCTCCACTTGTCTGGTACTTTTTAAAGTTCTCACTGCACACCATGCGATGCCTCCTACTGGGGTTCTGGTCAATTATGGGCCAGACTAAGTGCTGGAATCCACTAGGTGCCATATAAAGAAGTGATTTTATAGAAGCAAAATCAGAACTCAAAATGTTAGAACCATCAGAAGCGGACGGGCTCACTCTTTATCCTTTAAGGCACCATTTCAGTAAAAAAGTCCAGATGTTAGACTCTCATTTACGTTAAGATATCAAAATGATGACGGAGCAATTAAATACTTCTTTAAAAAAAATAAAAATAAAATGAATGGCCACACATTTCATGAACGATGCTGCCCAGCCAGGATTATTTTCACGATGAGGAACAAAATGTTTTGGTGGAACCTTGAACATCTGCGGCGACCATCTTGAACTGAGTTGGCTCCAAAAGTTTATCAGTTGTAGACGTCCATCCAACGACTGATTAGCGGATGCTTCATTAAAAACCATCCAGTGTGGAACACCAAAAACGGTCAAAATTAAATAAATAAATAAATAAAACATTATGAAATGAGTATCTAAGCTTATCAGTATGACAAATTTTCATTTTTATTATTTATTTCATAATTGTGTTTTTCATAACGGCTTATTTATTTCATAATGAGACTTTTCAGCAGAATGACTTCAGCTGTCAATCAGCATCAGTGGGCTGGACCTGCACGCCCACAGGTACAGCTAGCAACAACTTGCTAGGTCAACAGTCATGCAGGATGACAGAGCTGCATGAATTTAGTTCAGCTCTGGTAACTTCAGCAGATCAAACTGAGAGGATTACTGGCACGTTCTCAGAAGATGCAGTTTTGAGTCGTAGTATCCAACTGCGGCAAACGACAAAAAACAAAACAAACAAAAACAAAACACCATTATGAAATAAATAAACCATCATGGAAAACACAACTATGAAATAAAAGAATAAAAATGAAATTTTTTCACAATAATAATGATTGAACTTACTTATTTCATTATGCTTTATTATTTGTTTATGTAGTTTTGACCATTTTGGTGTTCCATAATCCAGTGGTTCATGAGATATTTTGCTAACAGACTGACCAAAGAGTCATAGCCAAAATTTCAAACAAGCATCTGTAAGCGCTCAAAATAAATCTCAGCCACTACCATATCCAATTTTAGCTCAATATCAGTAAAATGCTTCAAGATCAGTTGGTTGTGGCGGCCATCTTGAATTGGGTCAACTGTGAGGTTATAAATGTACATCCGAGGATTACAATCTGAGCGTTTCATTAAAATCCATGCAGTGATTTCGTGATATATTTTGCTAACACACGAGTAAAACCAGCGACCAGAAATGGTACAGAAAATAGTTTCTCACAGACAAAGTAAAAGTTACATAAAAATAAATCGTAGGAAAATTAAAGAAGGAACCGGTTCGAGTGCACTTGCTGCAGTTTGTGAAAATGCCTGATGCTGAACTGACAGGAAAGGACAACGCGGTGACGACAGAGCAAGGAAGAGGTTCACTCATCCAAGAAATTCTCTGTTATTGACGCTGCCCGCTGCTCCATTTCAGAACGACGAGCCGGGAACAAACAGCACCGCTGGTTTGCACGAAACCGCTCCGTCTGTCAAACATCTGGATTGAAAACGTTTGATGCTGAATTATAACAGAAGCCTTCAACAGTTAACAGGTCTAGATAATAAAAATGCTCATTATACTTCATAAAATCAATACTCCTATGATATAAAAGAATCTGAGTTTTTAAAAGTTGCATTATTTAGAGATAAAAGCACAAACACTAAACTGCATCATTTGAGTTTGGTCTAAATCTAAAAAGCCCGGTGGTTCTCAAAGCTGGAGTTGAGACCCCACTTTGGGTCGTGAAACATCAAATGGAGGTCCGCAGATGATTTCCAAAATTCAAACCAATTTTACTATTAATATGTTATTCGGATAAAAGCAGCACTGTAGCTGTAAATGATGTTATGTTTAATAAAGTAAAGAAACTTAAAGAGCTCATTCTGGGGTCACATGCCTCCGTTTGTGGGTTGGAAGATGCAAAGTTTAGGAATTATCATTTCAGGCTGTGATTTTACTCCAAACGCTCAATAAAGTTAAGAGCCACATTTGATTTATTAGTAACGTGGTCGCTCGTCAAGAAGATTAAAAAGATGAGAGAAACAGAACAGGAGTGGAGAGGACCGGCCCAGCTGAAGAGTTTTAAAGAAAAGCAAAGTGAGGAGAGCACCAGAAAAAGGCTGAAGTACTCACAGGGTGAAGTTTCTGCTTCATGCTCATGATGACGTGCACCGCAGCGTGCAGTAGGAGAAAAACTAGAGAAACGGGATTGAAGGTGACCTCCGTCCATCAGTCTGACTCTTTACTCTCCTCTGCTCCCCGCTTCTTTCTCCTCCTGCTCCAAGCCCTGCCCTCACCAACAGCTCCACTTTCAAACACATTAAAAAAATCATCCGAGTGACCAACAGGCTGCGCTGAAGCCCAAAGCAGGTCCCTTAAAATCAGCTAACGAGAGCTTTAAAGCTCCTGGTTGGTGGTGGGAAGGATTCTGCAAACGTTTCTGTGTTTTCACGTAGACTGAGTGAAAATGTCCCACCAGTCACAAACCAGAAACAATGTTCTGTTGAGCCTCCACAACTGGGAGGATCAACCCCAACAACGGCTTTACACGTTACTGCAGAAGAACTTGCTGAGAAACAGCCGAAATTAGCTAAAAACATGCTGAAATGTAGCTGAAATAGAAGAGCAAGCTTAAATTAGCAGAAGGAAGCAGAAAGAACACATATTTGCTGAATTAGGTTTAAATGAGCAGAAATTAGCACAAAAATTAGGAACATACATGTAGCTAAAAAAGGATGAAATTAGCAACAAACAACAAAAAAAATCTGATGAAAAGTAGCTGAAAGGCAGAAAGAAGTTTAAACTACCAGAATAAAATGGAAAGAGCTGAAATGTGCTAAAAAATGTGGAATTAGCTGAAAAGCTAAAATTAGCATAAAACAGCTGAAATAGCAGAAAAAGCTGAAAATAGCATAATTAAGCTGATTAAGCACACACACACACACGCAGGCACACACAAAACACACACACAAACACACACACTGAGATAACTCCAGCTGTTTGAGGAGAAAAACTCCTAAAACTAACATGAAGACTGGGTTTTGGGTCCAGATGTGTGTGATTACCAGGGCAGCTTCAGAGAGCTTGAACGCCGCCTGACCTTCATTTCCATTAGCGACAGAGGTCAAGGTCACCGGCAGCATCAAGCCGCTGAACGCCGCTCGATAGCCTCACAGCGGCCGGCCTTTCCCCCCTCGCTTTTATAACCGCACCTCAGCAGGACCCCTCTCTGCTCATCTTCACAGACAGTCTGTGATCTCCACACACACACAAACACACACACACGCACACACACACACACACCTCCTTTAAGCATCTGTACAAACTGCCGTGGGAGCAGCAATACCTACTGAGACCAAAAGGACAAAAAGATGCGCTGAAGCGATACAGACTGATGTTGAATTAGCAGCTTCTGTCACCGGTTTGTCTAAATTCAACTCGTAAACAAACAAACAAACAAACACAAAGTTAATTTGCTGCTAAATCAACCAACAACAAGAAAAGCCCTCAGATGTCAAACACACAAAGGGACGTTCGGTAAAACAGCATCATAGCCTTCGAATAAAAACAATAAATTAATAAAGTCTTTAGGTTTGAATTCACTCAGAAACAGATATAATAAAACGTTGCAAGTGAACTATAAATTACTGCAGTGATCAATTTAAAACGTTAAAATAAGAGATCAAACAAACAAAAAAAAAAACTATTTAAAAAGTAAAATTTTTGTTAGGTGTTCAATTTACAGAGTATTAGTAAAAAAAATAAACAAACAATTATACAATTGGGGGAAACAAAGTGGATGCTGTTTAAGGGATTGGAGCCAAGAAATTTATTTAAAAATTTTATAAACTAAGAAAAAAAAATTAATCAAAATTAAGAACAATTTATTTTTACAGTATACTATATTAGTATTATATTCAAGTTGTGTTTATTTGTCATATGCAGATTAACAGTACAATAAAATGCTTAGGATGAGAAGAACCGATTTGATTTGCTAAAAAACAACAAACAAACAAACAAGAAATACTAAAGCATGCAGTACGGGTACAAAAATATAGTACAACAAAGTAATTAGAATACTTACAATGTCATAAAGAGAGATAGTAAACAACAACATGGTAGAATATAACGGTGCAGCAGGACGAATTTGAATGAATAAGTATTTCAAGGTAGTAATATA